GACTTCATCGACGACGAGACAGAGCACGCCGCAGAATACCCACCAGATCCGATCCATGTTCAGTTCTTCATCAACTATGTCAAGCTAAGCGAGATTATGGGCTTGGTCCTATCACAACAATACTCGGTAGCGTCGAAACACCGCAGGGCGAATGCCATAGACCTGACACACAGCGACATGGCCCTCGCCGACTGGCTGCAACACTGTCCGCCGGAAGTGCAGTGGGAGCGAAATCGCCATCATTTCTGGGCTGCCTTGTTACATTCGAATTACTAGTACGTCTATGCATCCTTTAACCCTGACGTAGACTAACGCTCGCAGCACCACTTTGTGTCTTCTGCATCGCGCACACATGCCACCAGCAGGCTCACCCAAAGCCACTCATCTAGACGGTTTTGGTGAAGCCAACGCCTACCCATCACGAAACATTGCGTATCAAGCGGCCGCTATGATCACATCCATCATTGAAAACCTCAGAGCTCATGACGAGATTCGGTATACTCCGGCTTTCATCGTCTACAGCTTGTTCTCCGCCCTCATCATGCACGTCTACCAGATGAAGTCGTCTAATAAGTCTGTCGTTTCAGCGACTGAGCAGCGACTGCAGATCTGCCTGGATGCCCTCAAAGAGGTCTCCAAAGTCTGGCTTGTCGCAAAGATGGTGCACACTCTCTTCGAATCAATTCTTGGGAACAAGCACCTTGAAGAGCGTCTGCAGAAAGCTGCCGGCCGCAACCATAAGAAAAACAAGGTCCCTTCGGTTCCACCGCCACCGCCACCGAAGCCTGCCCAAGAATCATCGAAACGAAAGTTCGATGATATGGACCTAGGCTTCCCCGTTCCAAGTGGGCCGCCATCTGCTCAAGTCTCCTACGAGCGGTCCAGACCGCAGACTCCTGCCGTCACACCTTCGCGCGAGCTGCAACCCCAACAGCAGATGCCGCAGATGACTACTGGATCTCCACAGATGAATCGGCAAAATCACGACGCATTTATGGGCCCTTCACGGTCAGGGACGCGTCCTACGACCCCGTTCAATCCTTCCTACTCGTATCCAGGAACGCCACCGGATCTTTTCCTGGTGACCCGTGATACCCCTAATATTAGCCAAGAAGTGTGGCAGAACTTTCAGCCCGACCAGCTGTTCCCTGCCGACACACAAGTCAACTTTCCCCAGATGTCACCCATGCAAAATCATAGCCTTGTAGATCCTGCCTTAAGTCAACCTCAAAACATGGCCATGCCCTCTCAACAGACTGCTGGGGGCCAGTCACAGATGCAGAATCCACCGTCAAACACGGGCATCTCCAGCGGTTACGAGCATAATAATACTCAGGCCTGGCAGCAACAGATGGAGATGATGTCGCAGAACCAGCAACAGCACAGCGCACAGGATGACGCTTGGAGTCAGAGCTCCGGAGGCCGGCCCAACCCCATCGTGCCTATGAGCTTGAATGTCGATGATTGGTAAGTCGAAATTGCGGTTCTGTCTAAATACTGTCACTAACTCTTCGGCTCAGGTTCAACTTCTTCGGCATCAACGGTGAAGCCGACATGTCACATCTGTTTCAGCAAGGCCCTGCTTAGACCCACAAGCGTTTGCTTTTGTGATTGTTCGATTGCTTTGTGTTCAAGCTTTGCTCCGCGTGTAAGCATATCAGTAGCGTGGATTCAGTTGTTGCATGGATACATATCTCTACCAAAGGTTCAAGGTAGCAGCGTGTGGGTTCTGTACGCCCCGCGTACAAAAGAAGATGATTTGGCATACTACAGGACGACATTTTTCGGCATACTACTTCTCTGTGTCCGCTTCAATATAAGCTACCATCAATGCATAATACTCGCGTGCTTGGACGGATTCCACGATGCACACTTGTGACTGAGGGTGATTATGGTCAGATCTTGACAGCTTCAAAACCTTCACGTCAAGACACTCCAATCCAATGCCCCGTGAGGCCTTCGCTAGATTTCATCTGTCTCATGTGCATGCTCTTGGGATACGTCGCTGATGATTGCCATAGAATACTTCTAATCTGGGTTCATGCTATCTTTCGTTCTTACGTGGTCATCACATTTGTGTCGAAATTATGATTCAGCACAGTCTCCAGTGCTAAGAAGTCCGAAGCTCTCAATTTCGACGGAAGATCCACCCGTGGACCGGTTGGCTCCCCGCGTCATAAGCCTATGCAGGCCCGATTGGGTTAGCACCATTTCGGTTTCGGGAACCTCGCAACTTCACGTACCTAAGTACGCGAGACTGATACAACAACACCGTGAGCTCGACGTACACTAGCCGCCCAAGGTCAGATCACGACTTTATTACCAGGTTCGTAAATGCCCCTTCTTGAAGCCCTCCAAGTGCACCCATTCCTTCTGTTGCCCGCATAAACCCCAAGGTCGAACCGGAATCGTACCACGCCGCACATCGCAATGCAGCCACCCACGACTACGACACCGAACGCGCCCGAATAACGGCCCTACAACGATTACGATACCTTTACACAGCCGTACTCACTACGCGCCTCCCTCAACTGCTTCGCCGCAGCCTTGTCATTCGCTCGACCAAGTACCTGCTCCCGAATCAAACAATACTAACTTCCTCTCTCGTGTAGGTTAGGGCGCATCATTCCTACAAAATACGCCCCGACATGTTTCAAGCGCAACAAAATCCGGGCCGTGGTGCCCCACTCGGTGCGAATAGGTTGCAGAATGGCAAGATGGGTGAGGACAATCCCAGAGCGAGTTTGGGCTGTATCGCTGATTGCTGTCTATGCAGGTGCTGCATCTCAATGGGGGTTTGGAGCTCCAATGGGTGCGCCGGGCCTATCGAATGCGCAAACACGAACAAACGGCGGGGCCATGTCAAGCTTCGCGCAAGCAATGGGTGGCTCGCAGCCACATACGCCGCTGAATCTTGAGTAAGTCAACACACAAAATGTCTCCGAAACGAAAGAAAGGAGAGTACCGAAAGAAGACTTCCCAGCTCTACTCCGAGAGTCCGAAGGACGTTGAGAGACACAAGCTAAATGTTGATGACCATAGGGAATTCCCTTCGCTGTCGGGCGCGCCGCAAGCGCAACAGAACACCACCGCACAGCAGATGTGGTCGAACCCCACCCTACGAACCACCCAGCAAGCCCAGCAAAACACGATCGGACGTCCGCAAGGCCAAGGTCAACAACAGGGCCAAGGGCAGGCTACACAGGCTACGAATCAACAACAGCAGAACCAGGGACAGGATGATTCATCCCAAAGCCAGTTCTCTGGTGCTGGGGATGATTATCGGTTTGGAGGACAAGGGGGTGTCGGACAGTTGGGGGGTGTTCAGCCGCAAACAGGCAACATCGAGGAGTTTCCTCCACTAGGGGGTGCTGGCGGAGACATTCCACAAGATCGAAGAGCTGGCCTGATACAGAACGCAGCAGCATTCGGTGCGAATGGAAACAGCGCCTTTCCTGGGCTCGGACAAACGCGGAACGGCCTCTCAAGCCCGACAGATAGCCAGCAAGACCGGAGCATCAACCCCACTGTGGGTGGCAGGGCACCGCCAGGTACATGTAAGCAAGAGGTTTCAGCCATCATATCAGTCACTAACGATGATAGCATCACGGGCACCGTTTGAGAACATGCGGACAGGCAACCAAGCGGATGTAAGTACAACATGCAACTGCGCTGTACCTTGGCTAAAACCATGTAGGGAAACCAACGGATAGGACAGCAAGGCAACATGTTCTCCCTAGGTCCTCAGACAAGCATGCGAGGTGGTGCTGATCTTGCCCCGGGCGGCCAACGGCAGCAGCAGAATCAATTCGAGCAAACATTTGGGTCTGATGTTCTCGGCTCCCCAAACGCGCAGAACATGCTACACAAGAAGCTCTCGGACATGACGGACTCGGAAAGATACGGTCTACCTGGTCTCCTGTCTATGATACCTATGGACAGCCCCGACTATTCCTCGCTGGCTATGGGCCAAGATCTGACAGTTCTGGGCCTCGATCTGAGCCGGCCAGAGTACGCGTTCCTTTACCCCGCTCAACGCATCTGCTAATAATCTTCTTAGTAATTCTCCCTTACATCCCACGTTTGGTTCACCTTTCGTGGAATCCAACGTCAAGCCAGTAATCCCACCAGATTTCACTCTACCAGCGGCGTACACTGTAACAAATGTTCCACCACTGCATTCCAAAATGGCCAGCTTCTCCGCCGAAACACTATTAGCTATCTTCTATCAATTCCCGAGGGACATCTTGCAAGAAATTGCCGCACAAGAGCTATACAATCGCGATTGGCGGTGGCACATGAAGCTCCAGCAGTGGATGATGAAGGATCCAGATCTCGCGGCGCCTATCAGGATTTCGCCAAAAGAGGAACATGGATGGTATCTATTCTTCGATGTTAAGAACTGGAGAAGAGAAAGGGTATGTGTTCCGCTCTACCAATGTACTTCCTATCAACAACGTACCAGACACTAATGCGAGTATAGAAAGAGTTTGACCTCAACTATGATCACCTTGATCAGCGCCACGGTAGCCCTGCTATGGCAGGACAGATGTAGTAGGCTTCCTCTTCACACTGAGTGAAACGTCTTATCGCACATGCACCGCTTGGTGGTAACCTCGGCTGGTATGATACCAATAAAGTACCCTGAGGGTCTTACGCCTGGGGATTGAGCAACTGTTCTAGTCTACGCTTCATGCACGTGCTTGTGAGGCGACATCATTCACTATGGTCTCTTGATCCGTGAGACAGCAATTGGCAGGTGTGTGCCTGCTGCTTTGGCCGGCACGTGCCTTCTCTCACTGTTAGCGGTGAGATCGTGACTACCCCGACGCCTTGCATCGACCCTTCTTCGTCCACCATCTACTATACAACCTCACTTTACCCCCTCTATCACCGGTCTCAACTTCAGCGATTCTCGCAAGCACTAACCTGCAGACTACTCTCACAAGATCTTTGTGTCTCCAAACGACGTCAATACTAATACACAGCACTCAATCACTATGTCATCCCCAACTTCGAGCGATGCCGACTATGTTCGGCAAACGCTCATGAAGCTCTCGGTAGCCGTTCGCGAGCTGACTCCAGCCGGGGCGAAGCAAGTTCCGCAAAGCCCCGACCGCTTTAATCTATTGGCGCGTCCTACATACGGCGGCTGTCGTGTCTGTGGTCTTCCCGGCCACCAGTCCATCGACGTCCACCATTCGGCATCGTGTCGCGTTGCTCTTCTCTCGCTCATCGGCTTCTGGGAGGATATCGCGGATCATGTCGCTTTCCTCTATCAGTACTCCGAGCGGTTTCAGAAAGCCATCCAAACGAACGAGCCAACGTATGTAATGCGTCTTGACACCCGACCGCTGAAGGGTGGTGACATGGAGGTCGTCATTGTAGATCGCCTCACAGGGAACTTCCTGAAGTTTATGGCGCATATTCGGGGCATCAGAGCCAAGGTCAACGTGATTCTCAATGAAGATGACTTGGCTAGATATGAGCGAGTGGCGAAGAATCTGGAGGGGTTCTTCTTGGACGGGTTGACTCGTAAGTTCTTTCCAAAACCGCATGGAATAGCCTGAATTGATCTGCTGGTAGTGTCTGACCTCTACGAGCGCAGTATTGCGATGGAGCAGTAAGGCTATGGCTGCATGGGTGTTCACTTTTATCATTGATGCCGGCGATTTCAGTGGGCGTATCCTCAGGCATTCCTGAAGTCTGTTTCTGCACTGAGAACCATATGCACTAAAGGTGACATGTGACGAGCACGTGTTGGCTAGCGCAATACCTAGGTATTAATATTCCTCCTCCTGCACTTCTGAACGTTGAAGCTTGACTTTCGTATCCGCACTTAAGTAACACAGGCGGATCACAGTGATTGACCCGCACTCATAGCTGTACAAAATCACGGTCATTGATCCGCATTCTCTGTCATCGCCCATGCGTTGAAGTAGATAGTATTGGTACAGAAGGGTGGGTGCCACGGTACGCTCTTTCCCACAACCCCAATCCGTCACGATGTCTTTTCAAGCCCCGCTCCACCTTCCGCATCCGCGTTCACTCTTAATCATCGCGTATTTCATGCCTTCCACTAGCACTCCGATAGGCACAACCGAGCTCATACTACAGGGGTTTCCGCCAATAACCTTCGATTGCTTACCAACATATCTTCAACAGCGACGAGATTGCACCAATTGATGGTATCTCATCTGTAGACAGAGGTTTACAGAAGACCTATCCATCGCGCAGAGTTTCTCAGTGCGGGATCCGAGGACGGCAGCGCAAAAGGCGACGACGTGATGCAGGGTCCTCCGCAATCAGTACCAGGTTCGCATCGCAATTGAACCCCGCTCCGCGGTGACAATGAGGTATTCGATCCGGCAAATGATTATCTCAGACCCTGATCGCCTCCCCTCAAATCCATAAGCGATCTGAGTTTGCACATCAGCTACGGGTAACCGACTGACGATACCGCGGGCACAGGTGGATCCGATTGTCGCCAATCGTGGGACTGCCTGTACACGATGCTCATTGACGTACGAGCTTTTCCTGGAGCCTGTTGCGAGAATGTAATTCTAGCTCTCTTCCAACAACACCCATCATTATGGAGGCTAGCAATGCTGCCAACGTCGCACATGCCTCGGATCATGACAAGGGCGCGGAGGTCTTGCTGAAAGCCGTACAAATATCGAGACACGCGAAATCTGAGTATACAACCCAAGATACAATGTCAAGCCCCACTAACATATGCACAGGCAAGGAAACGGTACACGTACTGCCACGGCAGAAGCGAGAGACATGCCGACCCCAGAGGATACGCAAATCATTGAGGATAGATACATCTATGGAGGTTTGGAACGTACCCAAATGCCATCTGATCAGCTTCCCGCGTGCAGCGGCAGTTCACCCAGCACGACCGATTCTTTCTCGATGCTGTCTGCGACAAACCGGCAAAAGCTTGTACGAACGTACGACGACGTAACTACCTCAGGAGTGCCCACATACCCGGCTGTACCGAAGCTTCAGTTCTTGAATATGACGGATACTGTATACCAGAGCAATGCCCTCACTATGCCTCGCCGCAAGCCTCTGCCGAAGTCGTCTCAAAACGAGCTGACTGCGGTCATCGAATATGAAACACCGTTATATCGCCCAGCATCTGCACCTCCTCCGAGAACCACTACATTAATCCATGATACTGAGGAGCAAACTATTCATCCATGCTCGCCTCTAAGTAGGCCTTCCTCGCGCGCATCGACAATGACTTCCCAAGTCTCTGCGAAGTCGCACACAGAGCCTGGACCTATCCACATTCATCCATCCGCACAGCTCCAAAGCATGCAGTCTATCGGCGAGCTAGATGCAAGACTCCATGAAGTCGCCAGTCTGCGTAACTCATTCAGAAGGACGTGGCCCAGCCGTGTAATTAGTGACGCAACGCCTACCGGTACTCCAGAGTCTATATCCAATGTGCCATTGAGCGGTGGAGTTTATGAAGCTCATTCAAGATTGAATAGCAACGTTCTTTCGATGTCCACTGAAAGAGTGTATTTACATGACTGGGCAAGATCGAGCGAATGGGTTCAACCTTGTGCCACTGGTGAAAGCTCAAAGGAGTGGATCGAGGATTTCCTTACTCGCCAGGAACAAGCAAATCGCGACGTACACGGTGAAGGAAGACGTCTGGGCAAGCAAGACAGCAAGTATGGCAGTATCCGCAGCCGAGTGGGTAGTATCGACAAGTTCAGGCGTAAGCTTAGCATAAGGCGTGTTGCAGATGAACGGGGAAGCTTTGAGGCAAGACAAGAAAGGAGGCACGGGCGGGTCTTTGACTTGGACATTGAATCGTCTCCTTACGGCAGGGAAATTCTGCCAATACCTGGAGAAGACTTGGAGAGGCCGGCTATATCAAGGGTATTCTCACGAAATTCCATCACGAATCAGCACCTCAGACCCGAAACCGCTATGTCGAACCGATCGTCCTGGGCCCCTACATCTTCTTCGGCTCTGCATCCAACACCCACGCCAGAACCGCACCATATGTCACTACCATCGCGATGGCCATCTTCATACCCTACTTGCAGCACCTTCACACCAAACCCCTATCATTCGACGCCCAGGCAGCGACCTAAGGTCAAGAAGCATCGCTATCAATCGCACGGCTATCAATCGCATGGCAGAACCGCCAGCTGGGAGAAGCTCAAGGTCAAAGCGGTGACTTCCATAGGCTCGGATCTCAAGAGAAGTATTTCTACTGGTGTTGCGCCCGTTATCACAGAGGGAAAGGACAGTGTGAAGAATCTGGTGGGTAGGGTGGAGAGAGCTGGTGGGAGTATGTCTAGGAAGTTCAGCGCGAGCTTGAAGGATAAGTTAAAGGGTTTTGGCAAGAGCAAGAAGAGCATGGATGTTGGAGGGACTTTAGAAGTTCAAGGAGAACATTGATACCAAACGCAAGATATTTTCAGGGTCTTTAGGCGCATGTTGCACGATACTACATCGAAATTCGCTTAGCGGTTGGAATCAGCAGATTTCTGGGATCACATTGACCTTTCACGACACTCGCTATTTTTATTTCTTGAAGTATGTTCCGATATAGCGAACAGAGTCAATCCAATTTTGAGAGGCATCGCATGGCGACCAGAGCTGACGGTTGAGTCTAGCGTAGCGGCTCGCGGAGCTGTTCCTCAAATCGTCACCACCGCTCCTGAACCACAGAACTCTTATCCGTCAGCCGATGTTTCGACGAATGTCAAGATGATGCAAGGACCATGTGTCAGAGTCCGACGCACTGGAACACGGCACTTACAACGGTACCCCTCGGGACCAGTACACTGGTCCCGCTCAATGGGAATGCTTTCTCTTTACCGCATGATCAACCATATGACCTGTTGTGTCTCGAGCTTCGACAGCTCATAGGCCACTCTCTGAGACGACACGGTCATTACGTGCCGAAGTTGAAGCCAGATCATTCTCCTCCGATTTGTTCGCAACACTCGACATCTCTTCAAACATGTCATGATCATGTCCGAGGCTACCGTTCGACTTCATACCCTTCTTTCGAGCGCCTTCGTACTGAGGATTCTTTCCAAGCGCGTATCAAGGTCCCCACTGTCGAGCCGTCAAAATGCCACGCTACTACCCCACAATACCTCTTCAACCTTCACAACCACTACCTCTTCACCGGGGCTGCAAAGCATACTTCCTAAACAATCACCCGGCACTATACACCAAGCTACGCACCTTCAGCACACACCATGTGCATCCCTCACTCTCTTCCCATCCCGTCTCTGCAATATATCCCTGGCCGTACGTAGCATTCGTATCCTTGTCCCACCCATGTTTGTAAACCACACACTGACTAGTCTTCAGCCTTGATGCCATCCTCCTCCCCAAGCGCAAGCCCAACGAAACCCCTCTAGACAAAATCTACGTAATGTACCACTACCTAATCCGCGGCGACTATGAAGTCCTCCGCAACGAAGTGCAAGACTTCTTCGACCACACAAATTGGCACGTCCACTCCATCCCCGATCCGCGCGACCACGACCCAGAGCGCTACGCCATACTCGCGGCCATCACACAATACCTTGCGCATGGCATCAATCGTCGCATCAAGATCAGTCATGGGTATCGGAAGGAGCCCTTGGGACCATGGAAGACGGCGGCGTATGACGCCTGCTACAATGGCAGGGGTGGTTTACCAATATTTGAGAAATTGGAGAGGGAGCCGAAGTGGGCGGGGAAGGTTAAGAGGGTAAATACTGGGTTGGAGATTTGTCAGAGTTGGAACAGTGCGGTGTGGGGGGATAGAAGGAGTATGAGGTTTGCAGCTAAAGGAATTGTGAGTACGGAGATTGTGGAGTGCTTCATTTGAAGAGGTCGTCTGATCGGCATGGAGTGTTAGGCTCATAGTTTCATGTACTGTTCTTTCTTCGACGTTCATAGCGCGAGTGTTTCCAGGGAGAGACTGGCTCTCTCGCGACGCTATGCTGCCTCGTCTTCGATTTCCAAGTTCCCCACCTTGAACTTCTTGCCTTTCTTGTCCGCATAATCCCCATGATCGTGATAATCTTTCACTCTCTCCCTCACATACTCCAGCCCCCTGACCGGCTCCCTCTCTTCCGCATCTTCGCCAACAAGCCCTAACCTTCTCAACAAAGGCGATGCCACAGGCTTGATATCTACCTCATTCCCCGGTCTAACAAAGTAGAATAGTCCTAGCCGATGGATATGCGCTTGATCCTCCGGTGGTCTAATTACTCTGTGGATAGTCGACTTGAAGTAGCCTGCCGACCAGAAGGACAGTGTGTCGCCAACATTACAGATAATACCATCGGAAACAGGCGGAACGTACTTCCACTCTCCAGCCGGAGTTTTGAGTTGGAGACCTGCCACATCTTGACTCCAGAGTAGTGTCAAGCTTCCGAAATCAGTGTGCGCGCGAGACCAAGTATTCTGAACTTTGGCATCGTCGGCAGCGGGGCGTGGGTGGTAAATCATGTAGCGTAGATGGTCTTCTGATGCGTCGTCATAGCGATGTTGATCTGAGAAGTAGGTCTCGGGTAGTTCCAGGATCAAAGAGAAGAGCGTGAAGATCTTGGATGCTATGTCCAGAGAGCGGCGCGAGAAGGACTCGATCTCTGGGCGAAAGGGGTGGAGGAAGTGTGGAAATGGCTCGTGGGAGTTTGAAGGGATGAATTTGGGTATGTTGAGGGATTCAACGTTATCGAGGATCGCGGTACCCATGATTTTCTTCTCGTTGGCCTTGGCTTTGCGTTAGACAAGCGTAATTTGCTTTCTAATGGCATGGATATGAGGGGCGTACAGCACGGTATCCAAAGTAGTTGCCCTTTGCGAAATCACATCGGTACTTTGGGTCGCCCTTCTTCTCTAACGGCAAGTCGAAATAAGCTTGACCAATATCATATTGACGCTCGACCTCTTCCTGCGTTAGACCAGTGCCAGTAACGCTGAAGAAGCCCGTGTGGTGCACCTTCGGCGTTGTCAGAAGGGACGTTTGTCGCACAGTCTAGCTGCCAACTCACTGCGTCTCTCAGCTCTTCAGCCAGTTTTTGTTTTCCACTAGGTTCGTCATACGTAGATAGATCAATGACCTTGATCTCTGCCCAGTCTAGCTTCTTCGTTGTTTGCTTGGGCTGTCCCCACTTTGGAATGGAAGGTGGCTGTTGCAGCGTCGTTGATGGCATGTTGCTGGCAGTAGTTTCAACTTACGAGACTTGGGCGACTTGGAGTCCTGTTTGACTTTTATACATTCTGCGACGTTGTTCCCGGTTATTTCTAGTCCATCGCAACGGGTTGTGTCTCGCTGCATAGATGCGGAGGTGGCGAGCACGCAATACCCCGCTTGATGATGTGCTCGCATGACAGCATCGCATAACCCATGCTCTTCTCGCAATTACCACATCGGTTTGTTCTTCTCAAACAAATGGGTGGTAAAGCATCGTTGCCAAGTCGTGCCTGCCCTGTCATCCGTTCTTGAACTGGCTATGGTCGGGCAATTTGACCGCCCCTTTTGCCGTCTTCTCCAACAATTTCGACAAAGCCTTGCCCATCCATCATCGCACCGCGCAGCCCATCCAAATCGGAATCTGGGATTTCAGCGTAGCTGTCCCAGATGATCTTTCCAAACTCATCGAACCACCATATTTTCACCCTGCTCTTCTCGATAGCTTCTTCGTCTGCCACATACACATAGTTCTGAACTCGGTTAGCCACTTCTCTGATATCGAACAGCTCTTGATCTGTGATGTTGCGATCTACATGACTCCCGTCCTCTTCCCTCTCGATTTGGTAGATGGCACTTCCATAAACAAGTTCACTACCATCTCCATACTCGTCCATTATACCCAAACCATCGGTCAGTCCGGGAATGCGAAGAAGAAGCTGATCCAGGACTTCCTGATCCAGTCCATGGAAGTCATAAAGCGCACAATCATCTAAAACATGGTTCAAACTTTCAACGCAGCCGTCCTCGATGTTAGCCCCAGAAAGTCGTGCAAGCTCAGCGTAGCTTTGGGCCATTGAGGGCTTGTAACATGTCCTTAACCAGACTGTGTTCCACCCTGAGTACCATCTGTTAATGTTGTGTTCTTGGATGGTTTGATGCGGAGCAAATATCTCGTCGATTTGTTTTGTGGTGGGCGAAGGAAGAGATGCTGCACCAGGGACTTCGTCCAGTGCGCCCTGGACCCGCTTGTACAGAGGCTGGGTAGCGTCAATTTTGAGGCCAATGCAATCACGCCGTGGCATCGGGTGAGGCATGCCGCACCCATCTCTGCAGGAGGCTTGTACTGCGGTACCTCCTGGCTATTTCAATCCATCGCTGATGATGGTCGGCTGGCAGCGCAGGTCTGGTGCTTTCCCAATGTTCCTAAAGGCATGTTAATCACTTGTATCCCCATTCTGTTGTATTGAGTTGGCTTACTAGAGCGAACAGATCAAAAGGGGAGCGAACATGTCGTGTTTCGGCTTCCACCGACGCCATTATCTCTCAAAGAACCTAGGTAGAGGACACCGAGTCAAGCGAATCAGTCGCACTTTTTGCGAGTGAGTCAACAGCTTGTCATAGGAAACGTCAGTGTGACTAAGGTAGGTTGCATCGATCTGACGCGCTCCTAGCACACCCAACGCGTGGACACCGCGTGTATTAGTCAGCAAGCTAGCGTACCATCCTGACAGCGCTGACACTGTCACCCAACTCTGAGCGCTCGTAAGGCAAGCATATCTTCGCCAGCGGCGTGGACAATAGTCGATCGTAGGGTAAAATGTCAGATGCACGATGCTTTTCATAGGAAAGCTTCCTGGCCTCGTCGTGTGGAGGCCTTATCGCCAAGATACCATCGGCACTTCCGCATCCTCCGATTCTGCGTTGAGTAAGAAGTACGAGACGTTGCGCATTCCTTGCGGCGGCGGAAGACACCTGACAGCCGATAACTTTCCAAGCTTTCCTTCGTGCACAACTGCACGCCTGGAATCCAAGCAACTACAAACTCAGTTCCATCCAATTGTAGAACGACCGAGAGATGGTACTAGCGGCGCCAAAGCCACCGATTGTCTTGGGGATCTGGTGATGTCATTAGTCACGGCAGAATTTCGCCGTAGCGCGCAGGAACCCGATCTGCAAGTAGTAAGGACGGAGTTCCGACTCATGATTCTGTCTGTGTTCCAGTAGGCTGCACCCTGGGTGAATGCTGTGATGAAGAGTCGGGATGCATGCAAAGGACCGAAGAGGATAGGAATGTGAAGTATATAGAGTAGCTGGACGGACGTCCGTTGAATGTATTCACAAAGTAGTTCTCATCGTCTTATCTACATTTACCCGCAGCACCCTTCCACACGTTGGTCAGCCCACAATCTCAGTACTTCAGCTCGCATATCCCAAATCCACGGCTTTGTCGAACGTTAGGGGTGCCTTCAAGATGCCATCCGCTACACAACCTCTCAATATCCTGATATCAGGCTCCGGCATCGCCGGTCCTGTAACAGCGTATTGGCTGCACCGCTTCATGCCCACCTGCCAGATCACCGTTGTAGAACGATCACCAGAACCAAGATTGGGTGGGCAAGCCGTCGATCTTCGCTCCTCAGCTCTGCCTATCGTGAAGAAGATGGGAATCCTGGAAAAGGTGAAAGAGAAGACTACTACAGAAGTTGGCATGCAATTCGTATACCGAGATGGAGAAAGGCGCGCAACGTTCGAGGCTACTGGAGAGGAGGAGAGGCAAAGCGGTATGTGACTTGACTTTTGCATCCAGTAATTGACGAGAGAAGAAGACAACATTGCCAAGTCTACATTGAAACTTTTACTAATTCCATCGCAGCAACGAGCGAGTACGAAATCCTAAGAGGAGATATGGCACGCATCGTCTACGAGCTCACGCTTTCCAATCCAAACATCAAATACGTATTCGGCGAAATGGCAACAGAGGTTCACCAAGACGAAGCCAAAGGCAGCAAGGCACTCGTCACTTTCGCGAACGGCAAGCTTCCACCCACGGAATTCGACGTCGTCATCGGCGCCGATGGCCAAATGTCGCGAACCCGTCGCATCGTATTCGGACACGGACCCAAGAACGACGACTATCTGTACCGCCTCGGTCAATACTCTGCTCTCTTCACCATGCCCCGCGACCCCATTGACACCCAGTACGCACAGTGGTATAACGCCTCGCGCGGCCGCCTGTTCCTTCTGCGACCTGACCAGTGCGGCACCACGCGCGCGTATCTCGCCATCACCGATGGTGACCTTGGCCGCTTTGAAGAGATAGACAAGTTGTTAAAGAAAGGAACCAGGGAGGAGCAGCAAGCGTGGTTCGAAAAGGAGTTCGAGGGTGCGGGATGGCAGACTGAGCGTTGTATACGCGAGATGAAGAGGGCGGATGACTTTTACATGCAGCAGATTGCGCAGGTCAGGATGGATACTTGGCACAAGGGGTGTGTGGCCTTGGTGGGTGATGCGGCATATTGCCCCAGTCCGATTTCTGGTGTCGTAAGTTTTTCTCAATCACCGTCCTTGATTTCAAAAATGCATACTAATGTCGATACTAGGGCACTGGTGCAGCGATCGTAGGCGCATACGTTCTCGCAGGCGAGATCTCTCGCTCTCAAGATGATATCCCCGCCGCGCTCACCAACTATGAACGCATTACACGCGAATACGTCGACAAGGCGCAGAAACTCATTCCGGGAGCACCACAAATCGCAAACCCGCAGACGGAATGGGGAATCAAGGTCTTCAACACCGTGACCGGTACTTTGTCACACCCATTCATTCAGAAGTTCAGTGGTGTGATTGGTAAGATCATCCCAGCATTTGGGTCATCAAAGATCTGGAGCCCGCCGGAGTACGGGTCGTGAGGAGTGTGGATAGATGATGTGTTGGCGTTTCAGGGTGGAGGGATCTAGTGCAATATATTTCAGTGGAGAGCTTTTGATGCATTTATCAAATGTTAGTCTGGCGAACGTCTATCAAGCGAAATTGCATGGCAGGATGAGTTCTTCAAATCGAAGCCAGTACTGACGTTCTCCACTCGTCTACTCGGCAAGCAGGTCTACACCAACACTTTTCAGCGCATCGACCGCCCATACAGGATACTTATCCTTTTCCCTGTTGTACAGATCGCCAAAGAAGTCCTTGACAAACTGCGGGTATCGGTCCTGCATGATGGCCTCTCTCGCTTCCCTCATCAAGTTTAATTGGTAGTAGACGTTGTGCATGGTGAGAAGGTGGGCACCAGCAGTCTCTTTCGCGGTGACGTGGTATATGTAGGCTCGGGTGATACCCAGTCCGCCATCGGATGTCGGACGGCAGCATGTGCATCGGCAACCTTCTTCGATAGGGCTGAAGTCTTCGGAGTACATGGCATTGCGTAGGTTGAGGGAGCCGCGTGATGTGATGGCGTTGCCGAATCGCTAAAAATTGTTAGCATGAGAGTGTGATGAATAGGGAAAAAACATTACGGCGGTTCGTGTTGGCCAAACACAGTCAAACATGTCAGCGCCAAGTGCGACGGAGACGACCAGATCTTCTGGATATCCCTACGTTGGTCAGTAAGCTGTGATAGTGCGGAGGGCATCCAAAACTTACGACGCCCATAACATATCGCGGCTTCTTCTCAGGAAGCAGGTCGGTACATGTCTTCACGACTTCGCAATAGGCCGCCTTCTCCTCGCCGCCAGAAAGGCCTCCTATCGCGATGCCTGGTGTATCTCGCGCAACCATCTGGGCGGTACATTCTTTCCGCATGTCCAGGTCCAGGCCACCTTGTATGATACAGAAAAGGTTCTGTCTGTCTGGGTGCTTATGCGCTTGTATGCAGCGGTCAAGCCAGCGTACCGAGCGTTCCATGGCCTCCTTCATGCGCGCGTGATCGGGTGAGGTGGTCGCGATAACGTCGTCAAGTTGCATGATTATGTCGGAGCCGATTGAGTTCTGGAGGGAGATGGAGTGTTCGGGTGTGAGTAGCATGGGCGACCCATCGTGGGGACTGAGGAAACGGACACCTTCTTCAGTGACTTTGGCGAGTTTGAGGAGCGATACCATCTGGAAACTGGTGTTGGCGTCAGTTATGGTGCGTTTGTTCACCAAATTGAAGGTATGACCCACCCACCACTATCTGCAGCAGTCAGCACTTCCGTCTCTTCATCCCTGGGCGCTGTGTCATAGTGCACCTGTGAGAATATTGTGTGGCCAGGACTGGAGCTTATGCGCGCCGCCTATGGCATCGAGCGTCGCTTGTCCTGGCTTAAGGCCTCTCCCACATGTCAGCAATGGCTGGCATGGTGGCAGAACGTCGGCCGTACAGGTGATATGTGTTGTTTAGACATAGCCGGCAACCCTGATCTTCGAGCTGGTCGGGCGTGAGGCCTTTGAGCGAGGCCTGCGTCGCAACGGGCATGAAGATGGGGAGGGGTACAGGGCCATGAGGCAGATGCAGCGTCGCCGCGCGTGCTTTGGTGACCTGGAGTTGTCAGGGGATGGCCAAGACACGAAACTGACACGATACATACCGAGCACTTCCCCAGCAGCTCAAAAGTGAGGGCCGAAGGCATTGAGACGGGCGCCATGATGCGATTGGGGACGCGACCTGCAGCCGATGGGTCGCTTCTGCTGCAGCCCTGGAGTGTTGCGGCCCGTTCGCCTAGCGCGAGTCCCCCGTGTCAATCGTCATGCAATCCCAGATCCAGTCTCGGGACCAGCCGAGCGCATCGGAACCTAGTGAAGCAGTTGGTTGTCTTCAATCGACGAGAAATCACGCTTGGGATTGTTCAGAGAACTGACGCGGCTGACATCTCCAGTGGTTTTACATTTGACTGTGAGTGTACGTTCATTCCTCCATAGATCTGTCAAGGCAGGCTAGACTACCCAGCTTTACATTGGAACAAGAAAAGACCAGACTCTAAATAACTAACTCTAGATGAACAACTTCGAGCCTTGATACTTCGTGTTCTCCCTGTACACAGTAGACTTGAGCGAAGCCTCAAGCTCTCGCTTCGGGAAGCCCTTGAGAGATCGTGCATATGTTGCGACAGAGTGCGAAATGAGCTTGGTGTTGACAACCCACGCAGTAACGTTGAGGTTTGAAATATCGTCGCAAAGCTGATGGTAGCAAGGATCATACCAGTCCCCGGCCTTGCCCCCAAACATCTCTACTTCCTCCTCGGTCTTGATACCCTCGGCTCCTGTGGCAATACCACCACCGGGGATTCCGTTGCGAATGAAACCGTCGTAATCGCTGCGGCCATCAAAGGGAATGAAGGTGTAGTTCAGACCTTGATCCTCGTACCATTTGATGTACAGATCGCGCAACTCCTCTGATCCGTTCGGGTTCACCGCGTTTGTGGCATTGTAGATTTGGTAGGCGAAGTTGGGGCTAGCCATCATGTCGTAATCCATGAAGAGACGGATCTTCTGGTTCTCCTTCTCGGGCAGAGAGGCGACATAGTAGTTGGATCCGAGTAAGCCTTCCTCCTCACCCGCCCACCATGCAAACCTCACGCAGTTGGTGACATTGAATTTGGTGAGTTGAGTAGCAATTTCGAGCAGCGACATTGTGCCTGTTCCATCATCGTTGATACCAGGCCCTTCAGTAACACTGTCGGAATGGCCGCCGAGCATGACGCAGTTGTCCGGATCGCCTGCCGTTGTCTGCGCAATGATGTTGACCGTCAGAATTGTGTTCACTTCGGCGTCAATGTAGGCGATCGCATCCACGCGCTTTCCCTTCTCGAGCTTCTTCAGAATTGGTTCGGCTTCTTCACCGGACAGCCCGAATGTGGCTACGTGATCGGGAGACGGCGTTCCAAGGGTGCCAGAAACGCTGTCTTTCTCGTAGTTGTAGACAATGGCAGCGGAAGCGCCTTTGCGGCCTGCGTGCTCGGACTTAGTACCAAAAGGGCAGACCCCACGTTTGATGAAGGCGATGTTTCCGGCTACTGAGTCTGGATAATCCGACGCCTGGCAACCGTCATTCTCAACAAAAACGAGGTCGCCATGTACAGGCTCTTTGTCCTTTGTGGGAGGCGTTAAGCCCATGGGGTGGGCAGACTTCGGCACGACATCGCCAATGACAAGACGAGACTCGAAGACATTGCCGGACACAGCTGGGAAGGTCTGATTGGTGATTGTGTAGTAGTCTCCAAGTTGGAGGATAGTTTCATAGATGTAAGATAGCGTTCCGAGGTGGCCTGCGACTTCATCAGCATCAGCATACAACAAATCACGTGCGCAAACGTACCAGCACTCCCAATGACTCTGGTGGGATGGTTGTATTCCTCCTCGCCGAGCTTCGCAATCTCATACATCTTCTTGGCGCGTGCCATCAACCTGTCCCCACTGATGAGGTCCTGGAGCTCGGTCGAGTTGACCAACGGTTTGGTCCCATGTGGATGTCCGAGTGGCGCTTGATTGCCGGACGACAGAAGCGGGATCTGGAGCGCCGTCGCGCTTGTGATGGCTGCGCACAGCGCAAAGCCAGAAGAGAAGACCATGTTGTGGGTTACGGAAATGGATGGGTTTGGAGACGAGATGGGATGGAAGAGGGTTGTTTGTGTGTTTATGGAGGAGTCGCTGTTGCCATGCCGCTAACACGCGCCTCGCGATAAGGCCTGTCCCGTGCACAGTGCCAGGTGACTGCTTTTGCTTGAGCATATGTCAAATACATCATGGCTGTTTACATATATTGAAGCCTTGTCAAGCTTTGCGATGTGCAGAGGGAAAATCAAACCGTGAAGACATAGTTGCGCATCCAGCCGGCGTTACCATGCTGTTGCTAGTCTCTCCATCATATGCAAGGTACAATACATGCGGACCGCAGGAACCAATCAGGTCTGGATAGCAGCAACTCCACCATCGCATCACGGAATGTCTACAGGATGGTGTGGAAGTACCTAGGTTTAACAGCGGTAGACCTTCGGTTTTCTCTAAATCGTCATCAGCAACTTGTCGGCCCTTCTCAACATTGCGATCGATGATGGTTCATGCGGATGTCAGTAGCCAACGCGTTGGAGCCAGCGCTTGTTCTCCATGTAGCGCCATCGATGCGAATGACCTCTGGTAGCTCGAACTGTGTCGCTGGCCATCAATTAGTTCGTATGTGCATGGTGGACATCGAGACCCTTCCCCTTATTACTGCTAAACCTGAGATGTGGAGTCTGGGCCCACGTCAATGTGCATGGAGCTGAAACCTTGTTCTGGACTCCGCATCGTAGTGCAGCCAAGGCGTGTCAAGCATTGCCAGGGACGTTGCGTGGTGCTTGGTGACGTGTTCTACTGGAGATAAGCTTAGCTAGATACTGAATTACCATGAATCGGTGCTGAAAAGAACCAATGAAAACCAATTGGTTGCGAACGGCGCGCTCTGCTGCAGAGTTACGGTGTAAACGCGCTGCGACATTTTCGTTGTTTGGCGATCATAGCGTCGAGGCTGTGTGTTGTGGACGCGCCCGCCCCGTTGCGAACTGCACCTCGTAAACAAGGAAGCAGGCAGTATACTCGTCCCGAAATGACGCCCGGCCCTTTTACAATGTCTAGTCCCTCCGGCCCTCTTGTCTTTCTTTTTCACTTACTCTCTATCAACTCCTCTCCAATTACGGCATTACAGACTGCAACCGCTGCAGGGCACCTCGTTCGCCCGCCCTGAAACCCAAGCCAGTGCACTCAACTCTTGCACTTGGCGCACCCTAAAAACCACCCCTTGGGCAATCTTCGTATACCAAAGCCATGGCGCACCGCTCGAGAAGCTCGCGAGACTATCCCGACGGTTCAAGGCACCGCTCATCGCGCGACCGAGGATATACCAGCGAGAAGCCACGCTCCGTCCCTCCCTCCAATCGCCGTGACAGGCGCGGCTCCTCTCTGCCACAGTACAACCACAATGGACACAAGGTGACCCCCGGCCTTCACCCTGAGGGCGAGAGTGGCCGCAGGGGTTTCCACCCATTCAAGTTCCTGGTCATCAGCGGCAGGAGTAGCAGCACGATGTCTATGCTAGTGAACTGTCTATGGCCTATTGTGCCTGTAGCAATTGCACTGGTAAGTGGCATACAAGAGGAGATGTTTCTTGTTCTAACCGACTGTAATAGCACTTCGCGAGGCCCGAATGGCATCTAGCCATCTTCATTACCAACTACATTGCCATGCTTCCTGCAGCCAACCTGCTCGGTTTCGCCGGCCAGGAGTTTTCGCGCAAGATGCCAAACAAGGCCTTTGCCGTCGTTCTAGAGACAACATTCGGTTCGGTTGTCGAGATTATCCTGTTCATGGTCTTGCTCAAAACCTCCAACGGCGACTCAAACGTGCAGGTTATCAAGGCTGCTATATTGGGGTCCATCTTGGCCAACCTGCTCCTCTGCCTTGGTACCTGGTAAGTGTCTGTTTGATACTCGATAAAACATCCACTTATTTGCTCCAGTTTCATTGCAGGTGGTCTTAAGCATGACGTCCAAGAGTTCCATAGTGCTGTCTCTGAGAACGGTAGTGGTTTGATGCTTGTAGCTGCTAGTATGTCAATCCTCCTCTTGGCTCATCCAAGTACCAATGCTAACCTTTATAGCCGCGCTTGTACTTCCCGCCGTCTTCTACGCGTACCTCTTCCAAAACCCTGATTACGAAGAGAATGTCGATATCGCCTATAACACTCGACTGATATCCCGCGGTGTAGCCATCATATCCATCATTGGCTACCTGGTCTACTTGTACTACCAGACTGTATCCCACGATGGTTTGCTCCATGAGATTTACGAAGCAGACGATCACAAGGACAAGGACCGCCACGAGGAGTTGGCTAAGCCCAAGCTTACCCTGACCGAAGTTATCATTGCTCTTCTCATCTCATTGGCCTGCGTAGCGCTTGTCGCCATCTTCCTCGTTCTCGAAATCCCGCATATAGTAGAGCGTGGAGTTAGTGACTCCTTCGTCGGACTTATCCTGATTCCGCTGGTTGAGAAGATCGCCGAACACCTCCTCGCCATTGACGAAGCCTACGACAACCAGATCAACATGGCTCTCGCCCATGTCCTCGGTGCCTCTATTCAGACCGCCTTGTTCAACGCACCGCTTGTAGTACTGGTTGGTTGGGGTATCGGTGTCAGCATGGACTACAACTTCGCCATCTTCGACGCTGTTGCCCTGGTTCTCGCGGTCCTGGCGGTTGGCTCGTTCCTCCGCGACAGGAGCTCGAACTACCTTGAGGGTGTACTCTGCGTGATGACATATGTCATCATCGCGATCTGTGCGTTCTACTTCCCCAACCCTGCACACCACGGTGCTTCCGGGGGCAGCGCCGAAGGTGGCGCTGAGGGTGGCCACTGAGCCATACGTTCGGATGGCTATGTATGCAAAGCCATAGGGCTTCCTTCAGATTGATATTCACACAGCGGTGGTGTTGTGGAGTTTCGTTGCAACTGGGCTGTGAGGAGGATGGTCGGGTTTCCTACATGTAGCAAGCATTTGTGATGCGTTTCTTTGAGCGGTCTTCTTTTCCAACAGTTCTAATTAGCGAGCGAGATACCAATATGATACACAATATTGACACTCTTTTTCCGCTGAGCAATGAATGGTGTTGGTGATCGCGGCGGCTTTCCATGTGCTGCGTTGGCGCCAAACCCTTTGTGACTAGACCTCGTGCACGTGCCTCCACACAGATTAGGCGAATAATCGCGCCTGCCCTCCCGACATTTCTACTCTCCAGCGACAATCCAACTAACCCGACAGCCACCGCCCCTTCCCACGACAACCTCTTCTCCCAGCTCACACAACAAGTCGCCAAAATGGGTCGCGTCCGAACTAAGACCGTCAAGAAGTCCGCCAAGGTCATCATTGAGCGTTACTACCCCAAGTTGTCGCTCGACTTCGAGACCAACAAGAGGATCTGTGATGAGATCGCCATCATTGCCTCCAAGAGGCTCCGAAACAAGATTGCCGGATACACCACTCACTTGTACGTGCCGACACTGGGGCTGCGACAATGGCAATGAGGGGCTGGTCCTGGAAGCTTGAGTGGCCTGCGCAGAGGAGCGTTGTGCAATGCCTATGCGCAGGCTCTTGGGCACTTCAGAGGACAGCTCTTCAACCGCCCCAACCGCAGCCCCGCTTTGAGCAGCGTGCTCTCTTGCACCAAGCATCAAGCTAACAACTCGCAGGATGAAGCGTATCCAGCGTGGTCCCGTCCGTGGTATTTCCTTCAAGCTCCAAGAAGAGGAGCGTGAGCGAAAGGACCAGTACGTCCCCGAGATCTCCGCTCTCGACTTCACCCAGAACAGCGAGTCTGGCTCGCTCGACGTCGACCAGGAGACCAAGGACCTGCTCAAGAGCATGGGCGTACGTTACTCCATACCCATATTACCTCAAGCATCTCACTAACACTGTCCATAGTTCGACAGCATCCCCACCAACGTCATTGCCGTCTCCCAACAACAGATTGTCGAGCGCGGTCCCCGCCGCTTCAACGACCGCCCCGCCCGCTCGTAAATACGAATGCGCACGCGCGACACGACGGTCTCCCTTCTTCCTCCTTTCTCGGCTTACTGAAAATATGGTGTCTGGGAAAGGGTCTCTTCTGCCACGACTATGGCATGGTTTTACGGCTATATACGGCGGCATGATGATCAGGAGTCAATGAAACAAAAGGTTCTCCCCCACTAGGTGTCGCTGAGTCTGAGTGTTGCAAGACACGAAGATGATGCTTGATTGCCATTTCCCCTGTCCATGCTCCCTGTGTGATGCGATGGTGTTGTGATGACGAACAAAGAGATAGCTCAAGTTCAGGTAAGTGAATTCCATTGCCGGTCTCAACAGCACTATCAAAAGGGAACGATACTTATGTGCCTCGTGATGCCAATAGCTTCCCGTTCAGATGGAACAAATTCACACATTATCTCAATCTATCGCCCAATGCTGGTCCTTATGTGTAGTATGTTGAGTGTATCAAGGCTCGATGAATTTAGTCTATGCCGCATGGAACCCAATTCTGCTTAAAGAAACCACCAACGAAAACATCCCCAGAACATTGTCGACATCACCACACCGTTCAAGGCCACGCTCCGGTGTATGTTTTCTGTCTGCCACTACTACCGCCAGCGACGTAGTAGTCCTCCACGTCCTCAGCTCTAGCATTCTTATCGGCTTCCTTTGTGACATCGCTGTTGTTCTTCCGACCGCGACTTGTGCCCGCACCCAAGACCGCCTGATGCAGACTACTCCGCTTTTCCGACTCCGCAGTAACAGGCCGCATGGCACTCGTGGAGGAAGTCTTGGGCGTCGCTGGCACTGCTCTAATTGTGTCGAATGGATACGTCTCGGGCTCGGGTGCTGCGACCCAAGTTGGGCCAGGTCCATATTCTAGGCTTGGACGTGAATGCTCTTGCTGAGGCTGCAAGTCCTGTTTGACAGCGCGCCTTTGATTGCCCGAATACTGTTTTGGGGGTGGCGTTGGGGTACCAGAGCCAGTAGGAGATGACGGTGTTGTTGCTTTGGTTGTGCCGTTTTGCTTGCGAAGACGATCAAAGGAGTAGTAGAGGGCGATCATGATGAGGGGTACTACGAAGAAGACCCCTACAACGATGCCGGCTATCTTTGGACTGGATAGAGCCATTATAGTCTTCTGTCTGGTGATTTGTAGAGATAGTTGAGTAGTCTTGGGGATTTGGAAGTAGTGGAGTGGTAAGTCCCCCGTGTTTTAAGGACTATGAACGTGGTCTTATCAACTGGATGGGGAAGGATCTGGAAGCGGGTCACACAAACGCATGTTCATTCTGTTTGTGGATGCTCGATGTGGTAGCCGTCGGGTAGGTGCATGTTACACGTAGAACTTTCGAATGCATCTAGTGAGAGCTATGGTTTTGGCATGACGCGCACTGTAACATCATGATTCTCGAATCCATGCCATATATGCATACATGCCATGATCACGATGATTTTGGAACTACTTGCAAGATCTAGCACTTGCGAACCTGGAGAGTACGTACATAGCCCCGCCTTCAACTAGGTCTGCCTGAACAAGCTTTTCACAGCCCTCTTCAACCGGCTCTCTCGCTTCTCTTTCAACTTCAGCCATACATATAGCCCTGGTTTTCCCTTCAGGGACCAGCTCAACTTGCCCTTATCATCCCTCCAGTGAACCATCCATCGCTCCTTTTCCAACGAGGGGTTTTCGAGCATCAGCTCCCACCTATAGCTCGACCCGCGAAACGGATACACCAGATGAGGGTAGTGAGCGGGAAGTCGACCACACCCACATACCTTCTCATCATGGAGCCTTTTCAAGCGGAAAGCAATCTTCCGAACGTTACACGTCGTCGTCGGAAATGGTGGGTTAAGGACTGAAGCGCGAAGGCACCAGTGGTTGGCCTGGGCATGCTTTCCATTACACATTCCTGGAGCTATGAGACAATTCATTGCTGTGACCAGTCCAATGATATTGCTGTATGTTGTTCGGATGCGATAATGGTCAGATGCCACAGAATCGCTTGGAGGATAGAGGGGTGCGGGCATGTCCTGTACTTGGCTCATGTAACGCGCGATTTGTGCCGGATTCAGTGTCTCGACCATGTGCAAGACATCGTCTTCGCCTTCTAGGTCTTCTAATCCGATGGTCAGTCTGGCCAGGTGAAGCTCTAGTACTGGTGCCATGGCTTGCAGAATGCCCATTATAGTAGGCCGATCGAGCATTGCCCAGCGCGGTATTCCAATCGTGAGGTGCATCAGCGAGGCGAAGCTCGTCGGCCGGAGCGGTTGTAGCTTCATTGGCGTTGCGTTGACGGAGAACTGGATCGTGCGTAGGATGGAAGGGGCCAGGCGGACGGCTTCGGAGGTCATCTCGTTGTAGATCTGGGGGCAGGAGAGCATGAGCCCGATGTATGTCTTGTAGGGTGCGTTTGGTAGGAAGCCATCGGGTGCCATGTGGCTGTATATGAGCAAGCGTATCTCCGCTGGTAGTGCAAGCAAGTGGCATGGCGTCGCAGCTGTGGCTTGGGAACGTCTATCTCGACGTTTGATCAGCTTCATGTTGTATTGGGTCGATGGTGGTGTGCCTTTAACGTAGAAAGTGGAACGAAGTTGCTTGCGAGGCAGGGACTTTTCGCGTGGTGACAAAAGCTAGTTGTGGAAATATCTCTTCGTTGCTACTGTCTCCTTCACTGTCAAACGCCCATCAAAGTAGCGTCTCCCGTGCCTTGAAAGACTTTTGAATGCCATTGATTCGGCGCAAACCAGGTCTCAGCGTCACCATGGATACAAGAACTTGAACAATGTAACGGCACGCTTGATAAAAGGAGACCCAGTGCTTTCAGCTCCAATTTTGTCGTCTAGGTCCTCGCGTATACCCTGAGTGTCCTTCCGGAAAGGATACCATTGTGATCCAACGGAACCATGATTCTTTCAGGCTATCAGAATAACCGAGATCGCTCCAGAGAAGATGTGTTTTCTAGACGGCATATGCTGCTGCTGTTCCCAGAAATGTGGCACGTAAGGCAACCAAAGCTGGAAGCGACAACTTCCATAGATGGCGAAGAGGACCAGCGTACTGTAACCCACACATATTCAAATCAATATTTTCGCAATGATGACATGTAAATCTGGATCGAGGCGAGTGTACTGAGCGCAGATGAGATGAGGATGATAATGCAGGAACGCGATAGGAAGGGGTTCATCACTCAAGCGCACCCCGGGCGCACACCAACGCGTAGCGATGCGGTGCAGGAACGTATAACGCGTCGCAGCCATTGCTGACAGGAGAGAAACTGACAAGATGAAGCACTCAATGGATGTCCTGATGGAAGGTTGTGAGCGGAAGCGCTAACTATGACGTTCACCCGAGGTTCCAAGATTGTTGGGGCCGAGTCATGTGGGTCACGTGTTAATCCAATGCTCACCCCGAATTTACTTGGCACGCTAGCGACGCGAGCGTGAATGTTTTTGCCTACCGCCCTCACGCTCCGACAACCCAACCACCCCGTAACCTTTTGACCCGGCCACGAACCTCACCTTACAACCCCATCGAAATCCATCGAGATCTGTTTCTTTTCTCATCCATACTGATCCACAAGTAGACAATTTACTTCTTTCGGTATATCAGGTCATATATCGCGCTTGGATCACTATGTCACCTGCCGCGATCAGCCAGACCGCTGTTACCTCACCTTCGCCGCCACAACAACCCCACACACCGACTTGTACGTGTAAACTGTGGAAACATCTCTTGACCATGAACTAACGTGCCGTACAGCGAATGCTATACCTGCATCAAAACATTTCGATGACATCTTCCACGCCAAGTTCATGCACATCATCCAAGAATGGAAGAATGATCCATCTCGCGGCCAGCTAACTCAAAAGGATCGAAAGACCTTTATTGAGAATGCGTTCTTTGAGACCGATGAACTGTATTTCGGCCGGCGTATGATGACTGATCTTGAGATCAAGCTTCGCGCCCTTACCAAGGTCTTCTACAAAGTCCTCGCAGAAGAACCCTGGTCTGAGGATTGGATACGCGCTCCTGATGTTGAGCGTAAGCTTTCCAAGTTTGAGATGCACGAAGATTCCGTAGCTCTCGCCAAGGAGTATGGCTTTACCACACCTCGTGAAGCTGTCAAGGCGGCTCGCGAGGCTGGTATCAAGAACGCCGAGACTTACAAAGAGGCTCAAAAGGAAGGCAAGACACTCAAGGACATCAAACTCGATCGGGGCCCGTTCGACGATATCGAGATTGTCTACATCGCCGGCACGGTCTCGTCATCTGCTACAAGCAAGATCGACCGTAGTAGCATCTATCCAGTTTCCGTATCTTCAGTCGCCAATGTCCTTCAGAACCATATTTGTAGGGACATGGTCAGACCGTTCTCAATGGCCGAGCGCTTCGTCAACTGCACCGACACCAAGGAACTAGAAGACATGCGCCGCTTCGCATGTAATGTCTGCGATTTCTGTCCTCATCTTCTCGACAACGATAACGTCAGCCTTCTCGTTGTTTTACTTATCCTGTCGCGTTCTGACTGCTGTCGCCGCTTTGAGGCCAATGGCATTCGCATTGAAGGTTCCACGATTAGTCACCGTAAGGCTGAGTGCATGAAGAACAAGATGGGCTGGAAGACATCCGAGGACAAGAAGCCCTACGACAACTTCGCCCAAGAGTTCCAGACCCGTGTCAAGAATGCTTGCTTCCCAGCTCCCCGAGCTCAGCGCATCGGTGGTCGAAAGCCGCCGCGCAACTCTTCTGGCCCAGCGACTCCTCCAATCTACGCCCAGCCTCATATGGGTTACGTCGCGCCTCCACAGGTCCGCACCGATCACGTAAATACCGGCATCAACGTTCCTGCTCCGCCTGCACAGAACAATTTCGCGCAGCCTGCTGCCCCAGCGATCAAGGACCAGCGTGGTCGCGAATCAGCGGGTGCCGGTAGCAGCGCCGCCGAACCCATGGATCTTTCCTGAACTGTTTAGCGTGTCGTCGACAGGCTCATTTTTCAGAATCATTACTGCATGGCTAAGGCGTTCTTTAGGTACCTTCGGGTCTGCATATGGGGTTCAAAAACGGCGTTTCATGCATCATGTCCGATTTACCTACGTGGTTGCCATATTCTGCAAGCTTCGGTGTACTCATAGTCACTTTCCTGTAAATAGTCATACTGTCAGTATATAGCCATCTAATACATACATACCTGGATGCCGAATTAAGGCCATACAACCGAGGAATCTTCCAGTAGATGTTCTTGTTTTGAAACAAGCTACACTGTAGAGTTTGCAAAGGATGTTAATGTGTCGTCGTATCGTTGTTTTGATCTGATAACCAGTTGAAGCTATAAGACATCATCGCGAAATCTTGCCAGCATGAAGTGCTGCTTCATCCCATCTGACTCCGGTCGTGGACTCAGCTAGTCTGCCAAGCCGAGTGTGTATCAAATTGACTGTGGTGCACCTCCGACGTCTTTCCGCTCAACAACTCACCCACTAAAGACATCATCACAATGGAGCTCAACAACTTCGAATTCCTAGCCTTCTTCCTTTGCTCAAGCATCTTCGGTCTGCTCTCCGCAGTCTGGTCTACAGTACGTCAATTTGAAGCACTACCTCAGCGTCTCATACTAACAGCTCCAGACTGATCTCATCGGCAATCGCGAGATCATTCTCTTGATCGGAGTGTTTGTCGCAGTCGCGATCGCACTTCTTGCGCGTTTGTCCACCAGCAAGGCGCTCACCAAATTCCTCACGAACGATGTTGGCGGCGTACACGAGAAGCAGCTTCGCGATCTCAGTGAAGCCCATCGCCGTCACGTCGCGAGTGTAAAGCACGAGGGCAATCGCGAGAACCTTCGTCTTCGAAACGACATCAACTACGCCGCTATGAAGTTCGACCGCCTATACAACGAGCACGACTACATGTCGAGCATGTACCAGGAGCAGATGCATCACACTCAAGAACAAGACGACCGCATCGAGTACCTCGAGAAGAAACTTCAAGAGTTTGGACAATCCACGCCCGTTACTCGCGCTCCCTTCTCCGCGCCGCACTCGCAGATCAGCTTCTCGATCCCGCCACGTCGCCAGCGATCTGATGAGGCCTTCAACTACGTTCCTACGAAGGGCTCGCTGTCTCAGGTTGTTGAGAGCAAGGATGAATAAGTAAGACTGGACCCGTGTTCGTAGCTCTTCCGGATTGGCACGGCCAGGTTGCCTGATACATAGTTAGATCATTGGGAACGCGCTGGCGAGACGAGTGCAGAGTAAGCACAGGGTTGGATATCCGGAGTTGCACAGATCTCACAGGATATCAATGAGATGAATGTATCCTAAAGAATAGCTCACTCGCGAATGAAGTGCAACGTGTTTGACGCATCAACGCTGTGCCTGTCATGCAAGCGACCAGGCAAGATGTCTCATCTGCATCATGAGAACAACAATGTTTGCGCAAACCACACGCGACCTTCTCCAGGTTCAGGACTTATAAGCACGTAATACTCCTCACCACAGCAATTCCTTCAACACAACTAACTCAGCCATGACCGAAGAAGAGAGACGTACGCTCACTGGCGCTGATGATCCCACAATACAAAAGTTGCACACTGCTATCGCAGCCATCCAACCAAGCACGGCGATGACGCTCTTCCAGCAGCGCAGGCTTCTGTATCTCTGTCACCGTTTGAAAAGCGAGATCGACGTGCCTATCGGAGCGTGGTTGTTGGAAGACGTAGAAAGTCCAACTTCTGATTCTCAAGTCTGGCACGACGTTGATACCGAGCTTGGTATACCAGAGTCAGAAGATTACCCCCACCCGGTAGCCCATCAAACCGCAGGGACAGAACAGGATGGGAATTCTTCACCTCGTAGTAGCAGCAGAAGTATATCGAGAGGGAGAAGCAGGACAAGATGAGGCTGTCTAGTGATATAGCGAAACTACAGAGAGAATGAAAGCAAGCGGGGGCGCGAGATCCCTGGGTGGGGTGCGGTTAATGGCTTGAGTATGGGTTATGAGTGCCATATAATCATCAAATGAACGGCCAATCAAGAGTTCTATATTCAACAGTCCAGTCACTTACACGCGTCCCATTCTACTGAAGCCATGTCTTTTAGCCAAAGCGATGGTCGGCCCACCTATCCAAAGAAGGAGACAGGAATATGAGCTTCAAGGTCGACACCTGGATTGCGGCGATCAACCACGCAAACTTGCTTTCTATGATAGACCTCGGTATGGTGATTGCTTTACGTGCCACATCGTGAAGGAACTTGCTCACAGCAAACAAGTTCAGTATATCAGTGTAGAATGAGAAGCGTCAGAGCACCATCAAGATCATTCTACTCATCGATCAGCTCCATAACATGGCATCAGAAAACCTCAGCTACCCTGCAGAGAAGGCCGCCGTCATCAAAAAGCTTTCTCAAGCCATTGAAGCATTCGAAACTAGCGT